ACATATTTTGGTTAAAAGGTTAGTTGCAGAAGACTTTCTGTTGCTAAATCACTTAAAATTCGCGAAAATCCCTAATGATTATTATTTTCCCACCCATCAGGAGTGTCGTTAACTCACGCCTTAAATACACTCTCATTAGTGAGGATCGTAAAGTTTTCAATCCAATTATACGTTTCCTTAATTCATTTCATTTCTAAGAAGTAGTTAGTAATAGACAGCATCAATTGACATTTAAAATATCTTACAACGGGTTCTCATTTGTACATAAAAATAAAAATACACCAACTTCGTTCACGTCGTTTTTAAATGATAAGTAATTTTAATAGGAATATTGTCCAACCTTTTTCTCCAAGAAACATAATATAACAAATAAGAAAAGTAATTCAATCCTGAACCCATTCTGAATACTTAGCACTAAAGTTCAATTAAGAACAGTTAATTCCTTTTAATAAAATTCCAGTAAATTTTTCTACTCTTTTCTATTCTAACGTGATAGTTAGATAGAACGTGTTTACTTTTATGGTAAACATTTCCTATGGAAGTAAAGTACGTCTTTGTTAAAAACTATTTTTAACTCTCACATCAACTGAATAAAATAAGAATGTGGGCTCAATCGAAGTACAGAAATATAACATGCACTAAGTAGGTGCATTTCTTTTTGGTTAGTATTTTTTGATTTATGAACGCTAGAATCGTAGATATTACTTAATTATTATTTTTTTATCTTTCCGAGTTATAAACATTTTTAAAATTGTTCAGACGGGGAAAGTAAGTTTTAAATCTAAATTTGTCTTTTCAAAAAAAATATCAAATACCCAAGTTACCATCACGCTCATTTCTTTCCTAAGTACGGCTTTGCGATTACAGCGATAATTACTTTTAAACGAGTTAAGACAAATCACAAGATTATCCAGCGGATGAAATAAATAATGTAACACAAACTTTAAACGCTCCTTTAAAAGTTTTCCCTGTGTTTAATTACATTTTCATCTATCTCGCCCCTGTCCCGTCTGCAATTATCACCAGAACGTGCTATAATAAACTCTTTTTATCTTGTTTTTTAATATAAGATTATTTTCCAGTTAAAGAAATACTTTATAAACAACCGAGGTAATTTATTATAAAATATCATTGATCATTTTTATAGTTAACACTTATATTTTAATGATACATTCGACTTAGGAACATGGAAATTATTAAAAATTTACTACAATCAGGTAAAATACAATACACTACAGATTAATTATAAGTCAGTGGTGGCCTAGTGGTCAAAGGGTCAACCTCTCGTTGCCGAGGGCGCGGGTTCAAACCTGGCAAGTACCAATGTGATTTTTCGGAGTCATATGTACTTTCTGAAAGTATTTAGACACCACTGACATACGGGGAAGGAAAACATCGTGAGGAAACCTGGACTTATAGTTTCACAATTATAAGTTTGAAATCACCAACCCGTCTTGAGCAAGCGTGGTGATTAGTGCTCAAACCTTCTCCATGCGAGAAAGAGGCCTTTGCTCAGCAGTGGGCGTTCATAGGCCGATGACGACGACGACAGATTAATTGATAAAGCATCTTAAAAGCGTCCGACTTATCCCAGATTCCAATCCCATATTCGTCAATTAAATTGTAGCTAAATATTTCTGGGCTAATAATGAGATTTATTGCTGTGATATATATATTTATTACTTTTTGAAACAATTTCTTTACTCTCAAAGATAATAATAATTTTAAATATTATGTCAAATGCTTTTTATTAAAGTATGCTATAATTTAATAATAAAGTATTTCACAACATAAAGGACAAAAGGCGTAACGAAAAAAATAAGCTGTAAATTCAATTAATAATTACATAAATCATTATGAAGTATTCAAATTATTAAACATATTTTGAATAGACCATTGTAGTTAGCATCAAAGCAAATAATAACTTTTGTCTCCCTTTGAAGTGACACCTTTGAAATTAAAAAACTTTTTGGCACATAACTTTTCAGGTTGTGTTTATTAAAATTGTCGGCAGAATTTTGTCACTCCTTGAAATTCAGTTTGACAGTATTTTTACTTATATCTTTCTTAAGATTTGATATAAATAAATTTGATTCATGCTTAGAATAAAACAGTTCTCATTATACATATGTTTTATCGCAAAATATCTATAATTTTAACAAAAGTACTTAATAAGTAAAAGTATATAATAATATCTAATAGAGCAGTGAGGATAATAAGTATGGAGATTAGAATTTATCACAGATTAAAAATAATTATAAGTTTTTATTTAAAGTATCGACAAAGGACCTTCTTTCATCAATATTGATTTTGAAATGCTCCCTTCGACTTACTACTAAAGCTCCAGATCAGTTATTTCTACCTTTGTTTCACATCTGTGCTGCAGTAATCCGATTTACAATATAACAGCATATAGCCATCCCATAATTTTTTATTCTCAAAATAACATTTACAACTAACAGCTGTAATCAGCTATAGCCGTAAATCTGGTTTACTTTATAAAAAACCAACCTTAATAGCATTACCTACCAAATCTAAATTAATACGCAATCGAAGAATATATTCCTCGAATAAAATGGAGCCTTCGCGATAACCAGAGGAGATATCTCATTTAATGTACATATAATAACAGTTGGTACAGCATACACTGTACAGCAACTTCAAAACTAGCACCAATTTTATGATTTTGATTACATATTACGTCGGCATAAAACCACTTAAAAACTAGTGAGATTGTTAGATATTATAACGAGTTGTAAATACAAAAAAATCGATTAATAAATTATTTGTTCAGAATAACATTTATATTATTTGAGTCAGTGGTGGCCTAGTGGTTAAATTGACCGCCTTTCGTTGCCGAGGGCGCGGGTTCCATCGTGGCACGTGCCAATGTGATTTTTCCGAGTCATATGTACTTTCTAATATTATTTAGACACCACTGATGGACGGTGAAGGTAAACATCGTGAGGAAACCTGGACTTATAATTTCACAATTATGAGTTTGAAATCACCAACCCGTCTTGAGTAAGCGTGGTGATTAATGCTGAAACTGAAATAGCTTAACATGGACATTCCCAAAAAGGGTTGATGTCAGGCAGGCAGCCGGTCCTAAAAAACAATTAGACGAAACTATCTATAACATGTTCTGTGGAAGAGTTATTTTTTTTGGCAGACACTACCTAAAGCTGGGAAATTGCCAGGAAGAAGAAGAATATTTATATTATTTATGCAACTATATCAAAACGCTTTTGTTTCTAATAGTATTAAAGTTATATATGTATGTATATATATTTGTATATGTTTGTGTATGAGAATATATTTTTTTATCATAAATTTAAACATACCTCTGGAAAAAGACATCAAAATTAAAAATATAATAGAAGAATACGACTCCACTTTACACAATACAAAGTAAACTACAAAATATTAATACATTAAAATATTTTACTATCATATAATTAAAATTACATATTGAATGAGTTTCAGTTTTCTATATTTTCATCGTGAAGTCTTTTCATAAAAGTTATAAATTAAAGTAGTGTAAGTAACAAAATACTCTTTTAAAATCTCATTGAAAAGGAGTCTTTTATCTAACTATTGAGAAAATACTTAAATACTTAAGTATTCTCACTGTAACTTTGTCACGGAGGAACAGATCATATTTTTTACCCTTTCTTTAAGACTTGATGCTTTTGCTTGAATTGTAAATATTTGTTATTATCATTAACTCTTTTACTGGCTTATGTATGAAGTTTTTAACAACTTACTTACTTATCATAACTGGGAAAGCCAGATTTAATGATTTTAAAATATATTTGATTAATTTTTAAATTTGGGCTTTGTAAAAGTGATTGAAATACTTGAGTATGAAATTAAATATATTTGTTTCATTTTACGTCTAAAATCAAAGGAAGTAAAAAAGGAAAACTCTATAGCTTTTGCTACACTCAATTGCTAGTCCAAGGGAGTTGGGGATATTTTTCTCAGTTATTTTGCAACCTATTTGGCTTTCAAATACAAAAAAAAATGTTTTACCTAATTAGAAACTAATCACATCAATGACTTTCTGTTATAATATATTCTTATAAAAAAGAAATTATAAGGAAGAAATATATATATAAAACATAAATTTTAAATAATGTCTTTTAACGAATGTAAAATCCAATTAGCCCTAAGTTATCAAACTTACAACGTTCCTAGTAAAACCAAAATTTTTAATATTTTTGTATTAATTATAATAACAAAGTATCGTTAAGTACAAAAACAAAGCCTTTATACGACTTTACAAGAGTCTATTTTGAACTCGCTTTAGATGTTAGTAGTATTAAGAGCATTTTTAAATAATAATAAAATCTTTTCAAAAAAATGTTCATGCTAAGATAACTTATAAAGAAAAACATCACAATAATTACCCAGAGAAAATTCAAAGGTCGTCTTATCACTTGATATTGTCTGCAAAACTGTGTGCCATGGCACCTGACTCTTTGGCGAAATTAAAAAACTTTCTCCTCACACAACTTTGCAGGTTCCATTCATTTAAATTCTAAATTCTATGTTAACTCTGACTACTGCTATTCGCTAAAAGTTTGTCAACACCAAGCTATTTATTTTAAATAAGTATACAGATAACTTTAAATACAAATTTTGTTTTGTTTTAATAATTGCAAACCAAAAAACTATCTTGTTTGCATGTTTTCATCATTTTCTCTTTAAGGGTATGATTATTTTTTTAATTCCTTTAAATTTGATGTACTTCATTTAAACTGATACAAAATCTATCATCACTTTATAGAAAATTGCTTAGAGGACAGTGTTAAATTAAAATCATTTATAAACAGTGTTATTTTATTTTTCATTTTATACACGATATACCTTCACCATAAATAAAATAAAACGAGCATTTTTGCACATGAAATTCAGATATCAATAAAAGTTGATTTAAAAAATATATTCAGGTCAACTAAATTAGAACGGTTATTTAATATCCTGTCAACACTGTTTTAAACACCGGCAGTAAGTTTTATCCAAGAACGCACGGTAGAACAAGATATTTTTGTATAAACACCTGGTTTACCTGGTCTGGCACAACCAACTCCATTAGATACAATTCCAATTTGAGCTCCTGTAGCTGTTGGACATGATCTCTGTGATGTACCTCCCCGCGAAGAAGCTACTTGAACAGCCGGTCCCCCTGAATCACCCTTTTTAAATAACAAACGCATATCAGCATCACATTAATAAGATTAGTAGAGAATAAAGTTAAAGATAGAAAGTGAACACAGAAGACGACATTTTAATGACTCCGTTAAATATTTAAAATAAATAAATGGAAAACAAAGCTCGTTGTTGCCAAAGGAAATAGACATTATATCTACCTGGCAAGAATCTTTACCACCTTCGGGAACACCGGCACAAAATTGACAATCAGTAACGCTATAACCAAGTTGTTGTTGGCAAACGTCTCTTGAAACAGATTGCACTTGGACTGACATGAGATCAGAGCTGACGTCACCATTTTCCTGAAATAAAAATTATTACCTACTGTTACAAAAGCTTTGTTATTATGGATTTGAGATAAAATAAATGAAATAGAAATAATGAATGTGTATAATTTTTTTGTTTTGGTTTAAACTAACAGAAGTTGCTCCCCATCCTGAAACCAAAACGTTGGTTCCTGAACTGACATCACACCCATCATCAGCCAATGGTATTGCCTTTACAGTCTTCCCATCAATACGTATCCGTCTTGTGGTCCGTATAAGGGCGGCATCATGATCGTAATTTCTGGAGTTATACGATGGATGTGATAGTAAAGCGCTACTAGTATATTGGGTGCCTCCGCTATCAGCATCGGCACTACCAGCCCTGATGATCGCTTTTACCATACTGAAATGTAAAAAACATATCATAATATTTCACTGTATTTTCTCTTAAATATTATCCATTAGATAAATACGATACCCTTGTACGCAATGAGCGGCCGTCAAGATATATCTATCACTTATTATGGAACCTCCACATTGGTAATATTCGTTTTTTGGACTTTGCATTAGTAAATACACTATATACGGTACATTGTCGATAGTGTTGTTATAACCGCCAACAATTTTTTGACCATATTTTGATTTATGGCCATGAAAATGTCGTCTGCACCAGGCATCTACACAATTTTATATCGATTAATGAGTTTAAAAGCTAGAAACACTTTAAAAGCTTAAAAAGTAATATTTCTATTTACTTATAAAAGTACCTTTCACGAATACCAACAAAGCTAAGGCTACAAGCACGGAAGGTGTCTTCATTTCTGACTATACTGAGTTTCATAGAAAATATTGTTTTACGGTTACATATATATATGTATGTTAAACCTCGATTGAGATAATTACACACAGTGATAACAAAACTATTATATATTTTCTTATTCATCAATGTCATAGATAAATTATTTAATGAGGCCATTGTTATTGAAAAAACATAAATAAGTACCTAAATAACAAAAAAAACATATTTAAAAAGATGCCTTTATCACAAGGTTTTTTCTTTATTTTGTTACAATTTCAAACATAAACATAAGATGTAAGCAAATGATTTAATTTTATAATGTTAAATAAGCAGGCATATTTTTTTTATTTAATATACACAAACATGCTCCAAATTAAAAGATTAAAAAGAGGTCTCAAAAGACCTTCAGACAAATGTATTAACTTATTAAGAAAAATTATTTTTTTTTATCTACCACTTACTAGAAATATATTAATTGAAATGTCTATTTACAAAATAAATCATAGATTCACATATATTTGTAAAGTTGCAATGTTGTGCTTGTGATAAAGAAAGCGACAAGTTAAAATGTAGTTCCCATCTTTATACAGAACAATGTCAGAAATATTAAATATATATATATATATATATATATATATATATATATATATATATATTTCTATCTCAATGCGTTCCAGATGACTCTCCCAGATCAGAGTAATTTAGTAAGATGGGGTAAAAGTACCGAAAAAACTTGCTATATCTGTGGAAAGGCAGTTGGAACTGCTAAGCATCTGCTGGTGGGATGTAAGGTACTCCTGGACAGCGGTCAATACTCGCGTCGTCACGATAGGGTTTTAGAAATCATACGTGAAGCGGTTAGTCTTTCGGTAGCCAGAACGCAAAAGGAAATAACCACAAACGAACGATCAGTAGGTTTTGTGAGAGAAGGCACTAGGGCTACAAAATCAAACGTCAAGCCTTACTCCATCCTTAAAGCGGCGTCGGATTGGACTATAATGATGGACACGTATGAAAAGCAATATAAAATCCCCGAGGATATTTGTGCGTCGGCCTCCAGACCGGATATATTTTTGTTTTCGCGAATTTTAAAGCGCGTAGTGATGATAGAGCTTACGGTCCCTTGGGAAACCAACATCCCCAAAGACCATACCATCAAGGTCAACAAATATTACGAGCTCACAAACGAACTCACTCGAAATAGGTTCGTAGTAGATTTGTACGCGGTAGAGGTGGGAGCGAGAGGTATAACAGCGAAATCTCTCTACAACCTACTAAAGGACTTGGGCTTGTCCAGAACTCACATTAATGCATTCTTGGAACGTATATCGAAGGCAGCCCTAGTAGGTTCTTTTCAAATTTGGTTAGGTAGAGAGAGGAGCTTGGACAGTGGAGGTGAGCGTATAACGCGCGTTAATTAAGGGGCCCCTTAAACCTACACTTGGGTCGCAAGTCCCAGGCACTGTTGAAGCTCCTCTCCCTGCAACGCGATGGACCCGGCACCCGCACGGTGAATCCATGGAATGCTTAGTAGTTTCGTCTCTTTAAAAAAAATGTTTATGCTTACAGTGAAGAAATCTCGGATTTCAAGTACAACCCTCGTCTGACGCTGACCTCCGCTCAGTGCTAGTACTAACAAATTATTATTATGATTAACAAAGAGGAAGTCTTTCAAGATCCACGTATCCTTCGTTGACTTGCTGTGAACTCAAGAGTTAAACAGCTTCCATCTTGGTTATCGCTGTTACTGAACCTCAGGTAGATAAAATTAATAAATAAATTCAAACCGCCTACCTACCTAATAACATTTACTTAATTTGGGTTACCGGTTGAAGCCCTTAGATATTAAGTACAGTCAGGGCTTTCTAAGACTATTTGTAACTGCCGGTAAAAGGCACTCTATGACCTTCACTACATAAAATTCGAAGGACTCTCAAATAAAATAGACGTGGTTTATCACTTTGTATTTACACTTTAGATAGTCGTATATAGATACTATTCTACAAAAACATTTTTTAAGAAAGAAAACGTCCCTAACATAAAATGAATATCATGGATAAAGATCATACTGAACGACACCTAGTGTGACGAGGTTCTCTAGCTTTCTTTCAAGTTGATTCTTGGAATAGGAAACTTTCTTTCTCTCTCTCTCTCTTTTTCTTTCCCTCTCTCTCTTAACCCTTATCTCTCACTCTATATCTCTTTATCCCAATAGATTGATCATTCTGGTTATTGTAAAAGTGATTGACACGGTCTCGGGAACTGGGAAGTTTGAAACAAAATCAAACCTCTTATGAAGGACAGCAAGTAAGTCGAATCCATAGAATCAGAGTTTACCCCATTTAAAGAAGATAAGTACATAACTCGATAGTCTTCAAATTATATGCAGACACTACTACTCGAAAAACGTCACCATCGAAAATGATTACTAAGACCCCGAATGGAACTTCGAAAGCACCGGGCATTATTAACAAAGATCTGAAACTTCTTCTGGCTTGAATATGCCAGCTTTTGTTAATGTCTTTTCTTCTTAAAGAAGCACCGCAGTCTCCCTTACTACAATTTCAATTTAGATTTGGTACTCAATAAAATTTTACGCTCTCTACAGGTTTTAAATATTATATTTGTAGAAAAGTGGTTATGTTTTATTCACAATAATACATATATTTAACCTTTAAATAAAGTGATGTCAAAATTTATATAAACCCTAGGCATAACTAAGCTATACTTAAAAATACTATGTATAACATACTAGCTTTTGCCGCGACTCCGTCCGCGTGGAATAGTGACTTCCGGCAGATTTTTGGTTCTTCCCACATAGTTCCCGTTCATGCGGGGTTTTCGGAATTGTCGAGTTCCCGCAGAATTTTCAGGATAAAACCTTTGTTTTTTTTATTCAAAATAAAGTACACTTAACCAACAACATATTTCTTTGTTTATTTGAATAAAGATTAATATTATTATGTTGATACAACTTAAACAAATTATTTCAACCAAATTAGGTACCATAAAAACGGTTTTTGTGAGTTAATCTTAAAAGATAGATACATACCGTCGCGGACTGTTTTTTAGATCATTAAAAGAGCTATTATTCTTTGATACATATTTTTTGTGTATCTTTAACCGTTTTCACGGCGCACGCAACGGAAGGCTTCAAAGATGAAAAAATTTCTCCCGTTTTTTACACATTTACCACTATATCTTTGCTTTCCTATTGGTCGTAGCGTTATATAACCCACAGCCTTCCTCGATAACTGGACTATCCAACACAAAAAGAATTATTCAATTCGAACCAGTAGTTTCGGAGATTAGCGCTTTCAAACAAACAAACAAAGTCTTCAGCTCTATAATATTAGTATAAATTTTACTGAATAATTATGTTTATAATTCAGTTTATATCGTCATTAAATAAACACAAACCAAATTGTGTCAAAGTCACCAGCCACTCATTTGATCATTTTGTACTAAATATTACACAAATATTTTAATTATTGAGACCTGACAGCATCAATGAAAAATTAATTAATGAACATGTTCGTTCCGACGCCATTTTTGGAATACTATTATTAAAGATTTTAATTAAGACTTTATATTCTCAACTACATTTTTAAGATATTTTAATTGAAAAATATGAATCTTTTTATTATTTTTTTTCCTATGAGTACACTATATAATGTTACATTCTTGTTGTAGACAACATAAACTAACTTAAAGACATCCTAGTTCCAGAAACAATAGTTAAAGTTAATATATTATTAAATTTCGTTGAAATTTCAACCGTTACAATGAATTTATTATTACTGTCTTTGAAATATTTGGGTCCTTAACACGAAAACTCAATTCCATTGTTTCAAATACAATCAAATACCAAAATAATCCCAATATAACGTTATTCCTCAAAATACTTTTATATATATGTTAGTTATTCATAAAATTCCTCAAAAAGAATGTACATTCGGGGTTAGAGACAGGTTTCAAAATAATTTTGTTCGATCAGCAACGGTGAGGCCTCAATATTAACAAATATTTCTAATACTTTAATTTTTTTTTAAATTCCAACTGGTTTTCTTTTTATATCATATCATATTATTTATGTTTTAACCTAAGATAAGATATAAGCAAAACCTAGAAGATTTGAATGATATTAATAGCTTAATACGTATATAATAAACAAGTATATATATTTCCTATAAATTCAAAAACCATTGAAAAGAAAATGCAGGATCTCGGTACATTTTTCTCATTAAAAATTTTAATGTTGAATTTGATTTAAAGTAATTTATATCTTTATTCGACCGAATACTTTTTATAATAAAATAAACTTGGTTTCGAATATCAAGACATGTTTGAAAAAAAAAGGTAAAAAAACTAAATTAATGTATCCCAAACCCATATCACGCCTCCATAGAGATATAAATTTAACAAAATATATTTAAACCCACTTTAATATAGATTTATTTCGTTTAAAAGTCACCAGAATAATAATTTGAGGAAGGATTTTTTTATATAATTAATATTAATGTGCTACTCACATAACCGCCCTTTATTTGTTTTTATTAATTTGAATTATATATTATAAAAAAAAAATCCTATGAAATACACGACATCTTAAGTTGGTGTTGAGAATTTATAGATAAAAAAATTATTAACAAGAGTTATATTGGCTGCGGTTCACGGCCAGTCACATGTTCCAGAAAAATTAAGTAATAATTAAAAAAAATTGCATACTAAAACTTTCACTTATACCTAAAACTACATGATGCTAGGATGGCAAATCCCTTTCTGGTTCGAAGTGCAGATGTGCAATCTTGCAACCTACAAAACAACTCCAATCATTATTGTATGATATTTTATTCTACAACTTCGTTGCTCTGGCGAAATTTGTTTAATTTATCATAAAATGTTTTATTGACAAAATATTGTCAAGATTACATATATTACAGTATAGTTTCTTGACAATTATTTTTTTAAATACACAATTTGCTCTTACTTCATCGTTATTGAAATATTTCAAAATAAT